ATTCCAGAGGCATCTGCGATGCTGTAAAATAGTCCCCCTGGAGCCCATGAATAAGTAAATGATTAATAAACACAAACCCTTGGGTTTATTAAATTCAATGAAACAAAATAGAATTCTGCCCTTGTCTGCCCCTGTGTGAATGAGGAGATAAAAATCTAGTTAGGAATGCAGTAGAAGTCTGAAAGGTAGAATGTTGTGTTTGTCAGTAGGGCTCTTCTAGAAGCATGGTCTGTTCACTACCAAATGTTTTGACGGAAAAAAAAATTGCTTGAAAGCAGATGTTAGCCTCTCATTTTGCATGTTGCTCGCTGTCCTGGTTTGGGCTGCCATAGTTAATTTCTTCCCAGTAATTAGTACAGTACTGTGTTTTGGCTTTAGTCTTGAGAATAGTGCTGATAACACCAATGTTTTAGTTGTTGCTAAGTGGCACTTACTCTGATAAAGGACTTTTCAGTCCCATCCTTTGCCAGTGAGGAGGGGCACAAGAAGCCAGAGGGAGCAGAGCAGGACAGCTGACCCAAACTAGCCAAAGGGGTATTCCATACCACAGCACGTCATGCCCAGTACATAAACTGGGGAAAGTTACGCAGGAGGGACTGATCGCTGTGCAGGGAAGGGCTGGGCATCAGTCAGCAGTTGGTGAACAACTGTACTGTACATCACTTGTTTATTGGGTTTTATTCCTCTGTCTTTTTTTTTTATCTTCCTTTCAGTTATTATAATTATCATCATCAATTTTTTTTTTTTCAGTTATTAAACTGTTCTTATTTCAACCCACAGGTTTTATCTTTTCCTGATTCTCCTCCCCATCCACTCAGGGTGAGGAGAGTGAGCATGTGGCTGTGTGGTACTTAATTGCTTACTGGGAATAACCACGAGAGTTCTTGATGCCCAGCTTGGGACAATGAAGGGTTGAGATAATGACAGATCTGATCAGAGCTTGCTAAAACAATTTGTTACAAGCATTCATTGTATTGGTTTATTAGGTGCTGGTCACAGTGTTGATTTATTTGCTCTCAAAGTAGTTGTGCTTATTCTCAGAGTTGTGTTCTGTAGCACCTTACTTGCAGTATATTCCCTGTTTTGCTGTGTATGACCTCTGGGATCTGGGCTGAGGTTATCATTTTGTGGTACTTTGGAACACTGGCTTACAATATGATAGAATTACTCGTTGTGAAACTAATCTGGTATTTGTACTCAGCACTGCCATTACCTCTGCACTTCAGAAGCCATCTGTTGGAAACTATTAATAATGACACCTGTAAACTTTTCTCCTTGGAGAGCCAACCTACGAGGAGACATAGAACCATAGAATCATAGAATAGTTGGGGTTGGAAAGGATGTTAAGATCATAAAGTTACAACCCCCCTGCCATGGGCAGGGACACCTCGCTCTAAACCATATCACCCAAGGCCTCGTCCAACCTGGCCTTGAACACTGCCAGGGATGGAGCATTCACAGCCTCCTTGGGCAACATCTTTCCCTTTTTCTCCATTCTGATTACAACATTTGGGAATTCTGAAAATGTTGAATATCCTTGGGGTGTTGAAACCAGAATGGTCTTACTGAAAGTAGAGGGTAGGGAAGCCAAGCAGTTGGGATCACTTCCTAGGGAAGGGGCATTGATAAGGTGATTGGAAAAGAGACACAAGTCCTCATACTCTGGAGGTGACTCCTGTCAAGTGTGAAGGAAAGGTATACCTGTAAGGAAGATGTTATAAGTCACTGAGGCAAGTGGGCCACCATGGAGAGAGGTATCTGGTACCCATGGGAATTAGCTGTGTTACATATGATTTATTATGACCTGAACAGCACACAGTCACCCATCACTCCAGATGGACTCCAGTGCATGCAGCCTGTGTGGTGGAAATCTATACAGAGTGTTGGGGTCCAACAGCTGAATGTATTGGAGACCAAAATCAGCCTGACTGGGCATAAGTGGGAAAAGCATCCTGTTGTGACTGGCCCGGAGGCTCTGTGCATCCTTGGCATAGAGGATATTTTGAGAACATAAAAGGGTACTGGTGGGCTTTCAGTATAGCTGCCTTGGAGATGGAGCTAAATAAGCAGCTGTCCACCTTGCCTGGTCTCTCAGAGGACCCTTCTGTTGCTGAGGGTTGAAGAACAGCAGGTGACAACTGATATCACAGCAGTGCACTGGTGGCAATATCGCAACAACAGAGACTCCGTGATTCCCATCCATAAGTTGGATTTGTCAGCTGGAGAGCCATGGAGTGGTCAGTGGGATCTGCTCATCCTTTAATAGCCCCATAGAGAATGCACATTCCAAAGCACAGTTTTATAGTAACCCCTTTCTTTCAAGTGACCTGGAAAAAGGATTTCAAATGGGGCCATGAGCAACAGCAAGCCTTTGAACAAATTAAAAGGGAGGTAGTTCATGCAGTAGCCTTTGAGCCAGTCTGGCCAGGCAAGGTGTGAGAAATGTGTTTTATACCGCAGCTGGGGATAATGGTCCTACTTGGAGCCTCTGGCAGAAAGCTCCAGGGGAGACTTCAGGTCAACCCCTTGGCTTTTGGAGTCGGGGATACAGAGGATCTGAGGCCAGCTGTACCCCATTTGAAAAAGAGATACTGGCAGCCTATGAAGGGGTTTGAGCTGCTTTGGAAGTGATTGGCACTGAAGCACAGCTTCTCCTGGCACCCCAGTTGCCCATGCTGGGCTGGATGTTCAAAGGCAGGGTTCCTTTACACAGCATGTAACTGATACTACATGGATTAAGTGGGTTACACTAATTACACAACGAGCTCAAATAGGAAATCCCAGTCCAGGCATTCTAGAAGTCATCACGCACTGTCCAGAGGGCAGAGATTTTTGAATGTCACCAGAGGAGAAGGTGATGTGTGCTCAAGAGCTTCCACTGTATAATAAACTGTCAGAAAGTGAAAAGCAGTATGCCTTGTTTACTGATGGGTCCTGCTGTACTATAGGAAAACATTGGAGATGGAAGGCAGCTGTATGTTCTCAACAAGACACAGAAGCTACTGAAGGAGGCAGGTCAAGTCAGTTTGCCAAGGTGAAGGCCATCCAGCTGGCCTTGGACATTGCTGAACAAGGAAAGAGGCCAGTACTTTATACTGACTCATGGATGGTGGCAAATGCCCTGCGGGGGTGGTTGCAGCAGTGGAAGCAGAGCAACTGGCAACGCAGAGGTAAACCCATCTGGGCTGCTGCACTGTGGCAAGATATGGGTGCCTGGGTGCAGAGCCTGGTGGTGAAGGTACGTCATGTAGATGTTCGTGTACCCAAGAGTCAGGCCATTGAGGAACATTAGAAGAACCAACAGGTGGATCGGGCTGCAAAGACTGAGGTGGCTCAAATGGATTTAGATTGGCAGCATAATGGTGAATCATTTTTGGCCTGGTGGGCCCATGAGACTTCAAGCCAGAGATGCCACATTAGATGGGCTTGTGATCGAGGGATGGACTTAACAACAGACACTATTGCCCAGGTTATTTGTGAATGTGAAACTTGCTGCAATTAAGCAAGCCAAGCAGTTAAAACCTCTTTGGTATGGAGGACAATGGCTGAAGCAGAGATATGGGGAGGCCTGGCAGATTGACTGTATCACACTCCCACCAACCTACCAAGGCAAGTGCTATGTGCTTACCATGGTGGAAGCACCCACCGGACAGCTGGAAACATATGCTGTGCCCCACGCCACTGCCAGAACACTATTCTGGGCCTTGAGAAACGAGTCTTAGGGTTGCATGGTACCCCAGAAAGAACTGAGGCAGAGAGTGGTGCTTATATCAGAAACAACCTCATTGACTTGGGCCCATTGAGTGGGTATCATGCACCAGCTTCTGAGAAAAAGAATGATACAAAGGACTGTTAAAAACTACACTGAGAGCAGTGGGTGGTGGAACCTTCAAACATTGGGATACACATTCAGCAAAAGCCACCTGATTAGTCAACACTAGAGGATCTGCCAATTGGCCTGGTCTGGCCCAGTTAAAACTTTCATGTAATGTAGAAGAGGACAAAGTTCCTGTAGCACATATATAAAGTATGCTAGGGAAAACAGTCTGGCTTGTTCCTGACTTAGGCAGAGGCAAACCCGCCTGTGGCACTGCTTTTGCTCAAGGACCTGGGTGCACTTGGTGAGTAATGTGGGAGGATGGGAAGTCCAATGACTGCCTCTAGCAGATTTGGTTTTGGTTGAGAATAGCCAGTGAATTAAATTGCATATGTTAATTGCTATATATCATGTATGAATGATGTTAATAGCACTGTATATCATCACTTCTGTGATGGCTTTATGCCATATCAATGGTATTACAATAAAAATCACCCAGATTAATAAAGAATTAACTGTGATACCAGACATGGGCAGTGGTAGAACCAGAACTGGCTTCAGCATGCAGCAGTACACCACCACACACCATCTTTCATGACATGAAAGACTGCTCTGATGGACCACAAAGCCATGGACTAAATGAATGCAACAGACATTTTATAGGGATGCCCCATTGACTAGGGGACTGATAACTTGTGTGTACCTATCAAAAGACAGGAACAGTGATGGTGGTTAACTGGGATCCATTGGAAAGTGTGGGGCCTGGGCATGATACAAATGAGAGAGACAGAGAAATGGATACTGTCTTGGGGTAGAGTTAATTTTCTTCCTAGTAGCTGGTACAGTGCTGTGTTTTGGTTTTAGTCCAAGAATAATGGATTTCTGTTTATATTACAAGGGCTGAGGTACTGTAATGCAAAACAGTGAACAGAAGTACTTGTAGGGTTTTGGTTGTTTTGGTTTTTTTCCTTCTGTCAGTTTCGAATATGATAGTAGTCATGAGAATTTTATATACTTTAATGTGAATGAAACCAGGGATTAGCTTTTCAGCAAGGACGTTACGTAGGTGTTGGATCAGGCTTACCATGTCTGTGGAACGTGGCAGCTATCACAGCATTTTGTTTCATGCAAGTTTCAAGAGGTTTAGTGTTAAATATAATTAGGGTGTCTTTTTGTGTTTTAGGAAGCTGAATATGGTGGCCATGATCAAATTGATCTGTATGATGATGTAATTTCTCCATCTGCAAATAATGGAGATGCTCCAGAAGATCGTGATTACATGGATTCTCTCCCACCATCTGTTGGGGATGATGTAGGTAAAGGAGCTGCACCAAATGTTGTCTATACATATACTGGAAAGAGAATTGCCTTGTACATTGGAAATCTTACTTGGGTAAGTAGCTTATTACTACTTACATGTAGCCAGGAATTTTTAAATTATGGACATAATTCTTTGTAAATATTTTTGGCTTTAAAATTGGTTTATATGCAATGCTGAGCATACAGCAAAGCAGGTAGGCAAAAGGAAAAACACAGTAAACCCCCCTGGAATGCAGTGAGTCTGACTGGAGCTGTCTTGGTGTCTCGAAATCAAGGAAACCTTCAGTAAATACAAAATCTAAAGTTTCCGCTTACGTTTTAAGTGTTAACTAAAGGTTATTTGTGCTACAGTCTTAAGGTTTTCAGAAAAATGAATGGAAGAGGAAAACAAGCTTAAACTGTGAAAGACTTTATGCCTGCAGATACTTTAAGGCTACTGAGCAAACCCAAATTACAGTAAGTTCTTCCTGCAGGTTTTAGTTTAAAAAGGAGCTAGAAGGTTCTCTGGGATTTTCTTGAAATTACTTTCCATATTTTCCCAGGGCCACTTTCCACTTCCCTTTTTGACAGGCAGTGACTCTTGCAACAAAACTGTTTCCAGGTATTTGCCTTGAGGCTCATTTCTCCTAGGAGTTGCAGATGTGGGATAACTCACTGAACAGCAGTTGCCCTTGAAACACTTAATTTTGCTAGCACAAAAGTATTTTAAACTCAATTGCAGTTAAGCAAACAAAGGGCAAGAGCTGGTCAGTAGCTGAATTAAGGGAAGTTGATATCCGGTTCTTCCAGATCCACACTTGCAAAATTCTAATTCAAGATTTTTTCCCTTCTGATTAATTTCTTACTGGTGCTTGGAAAAGAATAGTTTATGGGTGCTGAGGTGTTTGGGTTTTTTTTATTAATCATTGCAGGATCTTAATTTCAGGAACTAATAGGTAAGTAAAGCATCTATTGATGTAACAGTTGTATTATTCTGAAATGAATGGCATCTGTAAAAAGCACATGAATTAGCTGAACTCTCCCAAGTCAAGTGTCATGGTTTGTAAAGCAGGTTGGCCAGTGTTCAGCAATTTGTGTCCATTATTCATTATTTGGCTTCACAAATGAAGTTAGCCACGAAGTGCATTTGCCTACTTTAGTGTTGCTGTCATGTTTTTTTCTTTTCATTTAGCTCTAAACAAATTTAATTTGTTGAGTTTTTAAAGGAAGCCTTGATTTGAGTGAAGTCAGATAAGTAGCTCAGAATCTTTAAAGCCTACTTTGCGCTTCCCATTTGAAATTTAAAGAAGTGTTAGGAGTTACTGAAGTAGAAAGAAAACAGTAAGTGTTAGTGTCATTGTGTATCTTTGGATGAGTGAAATTGTTAAATGTTACATAGTCATTAATAGGAAGTTACAGGAAGTAGATTTGGTTAAGTGGAAGCAGTTGTTTCTAAGTGTAGTTTTTGTCTAGTTTGCCGCCTTTTGTCTGTAAACCCTGCTGATTTTGTGCACATAATATGTAGTTCAGTAAACTCTCACTAGTCAAAGCTCTCATAAAGAGCACCTGGTTAATATGGTGTTTTAAATTGACATTTGTGTGGAAATAATAGAATCTGGGAGGAAAAACAGATTGGGTGTGGAAAAAGTAAGTTATTGGAATAGTTCAGTTTAAGACTTATTCTCAGAAAAGTTACTTGAATTTAAATCCATTTTTTTGGGGCATACTGTAATTGGTGTACTATGTGGAGGGAAAGATTCAGTATACGATATGGGCAAGTGTGTATATCTTTTAGATTAGTTTTCTGAGAATTGTAATGTACAAATGACTGCTTGCCAAAAGTCAGAAAACTTTGATAACGTGAGTAAAGTATTCCTCTTGACCAGCTTCACACACCCAGAAGAATCCATGGAAAACTTAGCTGTCATTTTCCTTGTGTTTTAGGTAAGCTTTTATAACTGAATATTAAAAATCTTTTTCAGTGGACGACAGATGAAGACCTGACTGAAGCCGTTCATTCACTGGGGGTGAATGATATTTTGGAGATAAAATTTTTTGAAAACCGTGCTAATGGCCAGTCTAAAGGGTAAGAACTCCTCATTTGTTTGTTCTGCAAATGGCCTGAAGTTTGGGAGGGTAGAAAGGGGGAAAAGAGTTTTCAGTTTTCGTAACTGTCAGTAAGGGAACTGATAATCTTTATTGATGTGCAGCAATTAATGTGTATATTGTTTCATACTCGTGACTTAAATGTCAGGTATAAATTTTTATGATGGCATTGTGTGTCTCATTAGTTTGTGAGTTGTGTCTTCATTGAGACTGTTCCTTGATTTCAGTTTGTGTGATGGTGAGGTGATACTTCCCTCAGCTGCCATTATTAAATGTTTTTTTACATCCTTATTTTCCATTAACTGTTGAAAGTGGATCCTTGAGCCCATTTTTTCACTGGCAACCTAGTCTTTGCATAAATGTGCCTTTCTCTCTCCTTAGCAGTAATGAAAACACGCTAAATGCTTATATTGACTTGGTCATATGAGTTGCATATATAGTGATACCCCACAAGCTGCCTTTGTTGTGATATATTTTGATGCATCTTGTACTTTTGGTGGTTCTTGTCCTAGAATGAGTTATTTCATTTGTTCTGAAAACTGGACTACAGCCTACGGGACAATTTCTGTATCTAGTTTTCAAGTAATTTTTTTGTTTACTGTGTGTAACCTTTTTCACGAGGCCTCAAGATATCCAGGAAATGGAAAACTTATGGTGTAACTTCTTTTTTTTTTTTTTCTCTCCCTTCCTTTCAGGTTTGCCCTTGTGGGTGTGGGATCGGAAGCATCCTCCAAAAAGTTGATGGATTTGTTGCCTAAAAGAGAATTGCATGGGCAGAATCCTGTTGTAACTCCATGTAATAAACAATTTCTGAGTCAGTTTGAAATGCAGTCAAGGAAAAGTAAGCCTTTCTTATGTGGTGTCTTGAAAAAGCTGTTTATTCCAAAAGTAGCATGGCAGTTTTTCCTCTCAGCTTGTGATAATTTCTACATTTTAAAATAGCTATAAAATGTTCACGGTCCAGGGGAATGAGGTTGCATCTTTGCTTAAAGATGATCCCCTAAAATAAAAGTGAATTTAAAAAACCAAGCAAAAACCCCAAACCAAACCACCCAACCAGACAAAAAGCCAAAACAAAACACTTAATACACTGAGGAGCCACTGATTTGGCAAGAGACAGCACTCTCTGACAGAAGGTTGCAGCTTTGTCAAACTGTTGTGTTAGAGTTGGAGAGGCTTTCTCAATTTCTTGTGGATGTAATCTTAAAAAAAAAAAAAACCAAAAAACAACAAACCCCCCCCCCAAAAAAAAAAAAAAACACCAAAAAAACCAAAGCACAGAAGCATTTAGAAATTTAACATTTGTGGACAAACTGGGCTAAATTCTGATGTCTGGACAGGCAGTGCTTATGACAGAATGGAGAAAAGGGATTCTGTGTTGTGCTCTGCTCCAGCACCTTGTCTTATAGTTTCCAGACCTAATTGTTTGTGGCATTGGGCTGTGTTAGAGGAAGTAATAATAGTCTCCTCAGGTGCCATTTAATTAGTATGGGTCATAGTGGATCACTGCCATATTTTGGCAAAGCACTTATTCCTCCCCAGATGCTTTCAGTTTGGGTACCAAGGAAAAAGTTGGTGCTCCTAAGGTCACGGTTTATCATTGCATAAAACAAGTGTTGAAAAGCTTTCATGTATTTTGATTTATGTAGTTACACTTTTGCCTTTCCATTGCAGCTACACAGTCTGGCCAGATGTCTGGGGAAGGTAAAGCTGGTCCCCCAGGAGGAAGCTCGCGTGCAGCATTTCCACCTAGTAACAGAGGGCGAGGCCGTTTTCCGGGTGCCATTCCAGGTGGAGACAGATTCCCTGGACCAGCAGGGCCAGGAGGGCCCCCACCACCTTTCCCAGGTAAAATAATTCATATGTAGAGTTTGTTTCATTTGTGTTTTCTTGTATTAGTGTGGCATACTTGGGAAATCAAAAAGATCAAGACAGTTCGGTGCTGTGCTGTGATCAGTGATCAGAGCTGGACTGTAGGATTTGACAATATTTCTTTGTTGATATTCAAACAAGTTGTATTTCCTAAATTTGATAGCAATATAATAACATTTTCTAGAAACCGTCTTTATAATGTGTCAATATATATACTTTTAAACTATGAAAATAACCAGATCGCTCCTGTTGGCAAGTAGACTTGCTATTAGCTCAGTGTAGTGCAGATTAGCTATATGGGGTGAGTATGCCTGTGTTGCAGTGTAAAGTAACTTTTCCTTACTGCATTACACATTTGCATGCCATCAGAAATTCAGCTTTGATTCGTGCCAAGTGACAGGTTAGTTGGCACTTTGAATACAAACTTGGGAGAGGAAGTGTTCTTGTTTAGTCAGGTATCTAATACGGCAGAACAGTCAGGCTTGTGTTGCAGTGAACTACTTATTTCAGCTTAAGTATTTTTAATAAATGTCATTCAGTAGTAGATTGCTTACTAACAATTGGAAAACCACTAATGAAGACCTGAAAGTAGGTCTGAATACTGCATTTACCTTATCTTCTCCAAAATAGCTTTTCCCAAATTTTCAATATATGTTGTATCTTATGCCCCATATAAAAGACTAGCTGCAGGTGTAAGTAGGAGGCAATGTTTTCTCCTTTTTGTAAGATTTTGGGGGTGTTGCTAACAATAGCAGGTGATTATGTGACTGGGGAGGTGAGTTGTCAGTTTTCAAGTTGATGTTATTCTCTTCAGATATTGACAGTCAAGCAGCTGTTAAAAATTTTCTAAGCTACTGGACCCAAAGTGGGACTGTGCATGTCTTGTGTGAGCTGCAGGTTGTTTAGTGAGGGGTGTTTCTGGTGTTTTGTTGTTATAAAAAAAAAAAAGGCCAGAACTTTAATTATTTCACTAAGTCTTTATTTGTATTTATTAACTTTACTTTATTTCTCTATTTTTTTTTCTTTTATTTTAGCTGGACAAACTCCCCCACGTCCACCTTTAGGTCCTCCTGGCCCACCAGGCCCACCAGGCCCCCCCCCTCCTGGTCAGGTCCTCCCACCTCCATTAGCTGGACCTCCTAATCGTGGTGACCGTCCACCACCACCAGTTCTGTTTCCAGGACAGCCTTTTGGTCAGCCTCCACTTGGGCCACTTCCTCCAGGCCCTCCACCACCAGTTCCAGGCTATGGGCCACCACCAGGTCCGCCACCACCTCAGCAGGGTCCACCTCCACCCCCGGGTCCGTTTCCCCCTCGTCCACCTGGCCCTCTTGGGCCACCCCTGACTCTTGCTCCTCCTCCTCATCTCCCTGGGCCACCTCCAGGTGCTCCACCACCTGCACCACATGTGAATCCAGCTTTCTTCCCCCCACCTGCCAATAGTGGCATACCTGCTTCAGACAGCCGTGGCCCACCTCCAACAGATCCATATGGTCGACCTCCACCATATGACAGAGGTGACTATGGGCCACCTGGAAGGTGAGTGCTTTTGCTGTAATGTGCTTGATAGCAGATTTTATTCCTCTTGTAGGAAGCACTTTTACTTTTAATGCAGTATTAGAAATAATGAAAAATAGGTCTGGAAAGCATCCAGACAGTCTTCTCAATCGCCCTTTTTCACTGAAATATCTCTCACGCATTTGTAGTAGTAAGAAAATTTTGAAATGCAACATAAGTAATCACTTTCACTTTTCAGCTCTGAACTGTTTGTTTTCACTGTTGTATTTGGCAGCGTAATCATTCCATGTGTTCTACATGCAAACTTATATCGCTTCTTATGCAGCAGCTTCTGGCTGTGCTTCTGTCTTAAACTTCTGATTTGCACCTTTATCATCGTGCTTTGCAGGCTGTCTGTTTGGAATGCTCTGGAGTTCTCCTTTTTGATTATGTGCATATGTCAAGTACAGTACCATACCAAACTCGTACCATTCCCATCTTTCATCAGCTCTGCTTACCCCTTTTTTATTTCGGGATTCAATTCAAAGTTAGTCTTTGTCTCAAAATCCAGGTGTGAATTTATGGCAAGACTTTTACTTTCCTGTCAAGATGCTTCTGCTTATTTGGTGCAATCATGCTGTGTTTGTAGCCGTGGCTTTTTCTATGGTTAATCTTGTCTGGGATGGAGTTCTTGAGTCTTGTCTTGACTTGACTTGTCAAGTTTTTTACATCTTGTTTGAAACATCTTTTTCATCTGTCCTTTTAAACATCTCTGTCTTGCTGCTGTTTCTTGATTTTCACCATATTTGCATTTGTCACAGAAAATTTTGGGGCAAATTGTAAGAGACACTTTTTCCGAAGTTACATGTGGGTTTTTGAGGTGTGATTATACTGGTAGCATGAGAGACTTCTCTTGCTTAAAATGTTTTCTGCAAAGACACTTTGTTTTGATTCTTCTTTTATCACAAAGTTTTAAAACCCCCATGCATCTGTACACCCTATGTTCAAACAAATTATAGAAATTCAAGCATTTGGCTTAATTGCCTGAAATATTAAAAAATGTGGTGTTGATTGTTTTTTGGTGGACAGAAATCAAGGTTGTCTACAGTTTGTAGAATGTCTGGGGAGGGAAGGAGTGGGAATAGGACAGTATAACTTACTGTCCAGTATTTTTCATTAGTGATGTTAAAACTATAATCCATAACTATTTAAATTGTCATTAATTATATATCATAGGCGTTTCACTGGAAATAACATGTCCATAAGAGAAAAATTACATATTCCATTCTATGGGAGGCACACGAAAAATAATACTCAAAACTCAGGGAGGTATGAATTTTTAGACATTTCCTCTTATGCTAAACTGGCTATAGGATCTTGTTCCACTTCTTGCAATTAAGAGGATAGCATTGCTTATTATTCTGCATTTTCTCTCTACCAGAAAGACTAACACTGTTCTAGAAATACCAGGCAGTGAGGCAGTTTGCCAGTCTCAACGTTTGTTTCTAACACATCTCCAAATTTTTCTATATGGTACCCAGACTGGCTAATGGGACACTGCAAAACTTTTGGGAAAGTTTTTGTATAAGTTACCTTCTGTTACTGTGGAAACCCTATACAGGTAGCTAATGAATAAAGTAAAAAAAAAAATAAAGTGTAATGGGTACAAGGATTCTGCTTTATTGCTTCCTCCTTACTGTGACCGGTTTGGAGATCAAATTGGAGCACCTTGAGCTTGACCAGAAATAAAACCCTAAAATAAGCTGTAAAACGTTGAATTATTGTTCAGAAAATTGAGTGTTCTAAAGATACTATAGACTACGTTTGCTTTTCATAAGTTACAACATTCTGGTCTTAGTTAAGATCTGGAAAACAGGATCATATAGTTCTAATTCTAGTATTGTTATAAAAATGATCTCTACTTTTGCTCAAAGTTGCATTGCCTATGTACATGTATTTCCACATCTATTCAGTTGGGATAATACCTATTTTCATACCTTCAAGGATTTTCTGAAAATAATAAGTATTTATAAAGCACAATATTGAGTGCTGCTAAATCTTTAAAATAGATGGGATGAGCAAGAATAAGTCTGCTTATACAGCAATGTCTGAATTGTTTACCTTTTTATTTTACTTTGGTTTTAATTTTTTAGCTTTCAGGATGTTATACTGTAACATGTTCCTTAACAAAAACAGAAATCAAAACCAAACCCAGATCCTGCTTTCTTTTCTGTTTGTCACTTTGCTTGAAGTTGCAAACTTGGATTGTTAAAACTGCAGTGATATCTTGTAAAGTTGTGGGGGTTTTGGTGTTGTGTTTTTTTTTTTTTTAACCTTTAAAATATTAATTTTATTGCTTGCAGAGAAATGGATGCTGCAAGGACACCTCTCAGTGAAGCAGAATTTGAAGAAATCATGAATAGAAATAGGGCAATCTCAAGCAGTGCCATTTCGAGAGCTGTATCAGATGCTAGTGCTGGTTAGTAAAACTTGATTAATGTGTTTGCTACCCAACTGGAAAGAGTTTGTGGTTTCTCTGTTGGGAAACTGGCAGCCCTTGAAACCACGCTTTCCTAAAAGGGGGCTGAATCTAGGTACAAACTATGACTGATTTTGTACTGCAGTCACGTAGTTTCTGAGAATGCCTTCTGAGTGCTGATCTGGACAGTATCCTAATACTTAATTCTACTGTAAATTATCTGGCTGGCTATTGAAGAAGAGACTTAAAACGGTAATACTATTACAGATAAAATTCATTGGTTTAATTTGCATCATTTTCTGATCATGATCTTCTGTCATTTTCAGGGGACTATGGAAGTGCTATAGAGACCTTGGTAACTGCAATTTCCTTAATTAAACAGTCCAAAGTGTCTGCAGATGATCGCTGTAAAGTACTTATTAGCTCTCTCCAGGACTGCCTTCATGGAATTGAGTCCAAGTCTTACGGTTCTGGATCCAGGTAAAACTTTCCTCTTCCATCTGCCCTAACTTACAGAAGGGAGGGTGTAGCGCAGGACTAGCTCACAGAGAAGAAATTAAGTCATGAAGGAAGCTTAGTGATTTGCTGAGTTGCGCAAGAAGCGTGCAAGAACCAAATAGGGGTTTCCCCGAACTTAGCTGCCTTTTCATTAACCCTCTTCTCGAAATTGATCTGACTAGCTTAAACTTAACTTTTATTTGTTGTCGTTTCCTACATGGTACTCTTGCAGTTTGTAAACTTCAGAATTGAATTGTCCTTTATCAATTAAGAGACCCAGTGCATAATTTCTATTATAATTTGTTATTGAAAATTAAGATTGAGGATATTTGATTCCAGTTTTCATTTTGCCTAAAATTAATTTTCTCCATACTTGTCACAGTAGGAATACACTTGAGTTGGGGGGAAAAAAGCTGAGCAGAATGATTTTTGCCTGTGGTCCTTCGTCAGTCTAAAAATCTAGAGTAGGTAGATTTCAAATTCATGTGCTCTTCTATCTAGTATAAATAAGACATAGGTATTTCTTAAAAAACATAACACCCCTTTCGGTGTCAAGACAAACACTGAGGTTCTGTTTCATTAGGATAGTGTAGCAGTAGTGTAGTTGGCTTTGAATACTAAAAACGCAAAGACAGCTGGTTTTGGCACATACTTTCAATACACACATTAGCAGCCATGTCGTAGTGATCATTTGAGGTATGGTGTGTTCCCCCAGCTGATTTCAGCCCTCTCATCCTCTGTTCTGGCAGTGTGCTTTTTTTAGTGGCTCTGCACCTTGCTATCTCCCGAGTTCTCAGTCACCTCTTTTTTATATCAGCTGTCTTTCATGTTATATACAGAAACATATCAGCATCACAGTGAACAGATGCTTCTCTTGTATCCTTTTTTTGATCAAATCCATACTCATAATACAAAATTGGCATGCGGGTGGCTTGTATTATGAAGAAAAATTTAATGAAGTAATTTCTTTTAGAAGACGTGAGCGATCCAGAGAGAGGGACCACAGTAGGTCACGAGAAAAAAGCAGGCGCCACAAATCACGTAGTAGAGATCGTCATGATGACTATTACCGGGAAAGAAGCCGTGAGAGAGAGAGGCATCGTGATCGTGACAGAGATCGTGACAGAGAACGAGACAGAGAGAGAGAATATCGTCATCGTTAAAGAAGGTGAGCATTTGTTTCATGTTTTTTCAACTTTACTGTCTCGGTAAAAGTAACTACTTTGGGTTTGGGATTGTTTACACCATTAATGTCTGCATCTAAGTGGTCCTGCAGTATGTACTGAATCACTTTCTTCTTGCAGCATCTGACATGAATGTAGGTAAGTAACAACAGGTAACTGGTCTTGGGAGGGAGGGAGTATTTGTGTGCTTCTCTTCTGCAGTTTGCATGCTCCCTTTTTTATTTTAGGTTGTATTAATGTTTGCAGTTTTTATGAAAGCAGTAAGCCAGACTAATATGTCTGCCCTTTTTGTAATCTTACAAGATTATATGAAATTTATGGTTCTATTTCTTACTAGTATTCTTAAATACTAAATTTGTATTTTAAAATCTCCTTGTGTAAGGACTGCAGCTTTTACCCCTTCATATGTCATGTTTTATTTCAGTTTAGGGAACGTGTACATACAGTTGCTCTCCTTGCACAAGTATGGCAGTGGGCTCTTGGAGGGTTTTGTTTGTTGGGTTTTGGTTTGGTTTTTGGGTTCCTTTTTCTCCCAGTGAGTTTTTCCCCAAATTCAGGAAATACAGCCAGACTTTGCTCTTTATTCGATGAAATGTGAACAGCCAGTATCTTCTGCCTTCAAGATAAATTCAGGTGTTATCTTTAGTAAGATTTACACCCAGTTGTTCCCCACCACCCTGATTTTTCATTCCCCTCTGTGATAGTAATTTTCTGAGGACTAGTTAACAAATGTACGCCACAAGGATTGTTTCTTTTCTTGTTCACAAACGAATGTGTTATTTTATTTCACATACCTGTATGCATCAACCCTCTAGATAGCTGCAAAGTAGCGGGCTTATTTCAGTGTACTGCTGAGGACTTTAAAATACATAGAAATGTTCATCACATGTATTGTACCATTTTGGAGATTGGGAGCTCAAGGTACTCATGATTCCTCATATTTGACAACTGGAAAAAGCTATTAGTTACTATTAACTACCTATTAGTTTCTCTGCAGTGGTCTTTTCTCTTTTTAAAACTTCACACTACATTTGCACTAAAATTGAAGCTTGCAGACTTGCCTGTGACAGACTTCAATTTCTTACATTTAGCCTCTGATTTAGTTTTCAGATTTGCATGTGGTATTTATTCAGGGAAGCTCATTTACAGAAGTTAGAGGAAAGTTTTCTAGAAATCACATAAAATGTAGTATCTTCCTAAATGAAAATATAATTTTGTATTATTTAAATATCATGTTTTTAGTCAGGCTTTTGTGTTACTGACTCCTCTGGGAAACAACAAATTCTGATACTAAACGCTCCAGTCTGTTAAGTGGGTTGTTGTCTTGGGTTTACATACAAATAGGGGATATGTGAAACAATAACCAGCCTAAAGGAGGGCAGTCAAGGGCTTAAATAGGAAGGTGAAATGTAGCAGCTGAAATGAAGTTGGCAGTATATTTGTTAATGCCACTTTGTGTCACAGAAAATGGATTGGTAGAAATATTTCTGGAACTTCATGAAATAGAAGCTGTGGTTCTTAACTGTGAAATATCAGAACATAAAAATAGAGATTTAACAAAAGTAATTATGGTTTCTTTTGTTGAACTGGATTTTTACCTCTTACAATAAGTGAGTATTTGTGATATTTGCAAACAGTTGTTGTTAACCATTGAACTGAGTGCTGGATGTATTTCCAGACTGTTTTCCTTCTGGTGGAGATGAGCAAGCCATACTAAAAATTATTAATAACCTGGAATTTAAGATTAATTTATTTTTTTTTCCCGTGGCATACTTCATTAATCTAGCTTTCATTTTTGTGTGTTTAGTGTTGTGCATGTAGGTGTGGCATTTGTTTGCCAAGTTACAGATTCACTACCCTGTGAATGTATCAAATGTATCGAATAGCATTAGGTTGCATTTTATGATTTACAAAGCAGTTTTAAAATGAGACTGTGGCTTCAGTCTCAGTTTAGGTGGAACTTATATATGCAATATCCTTCAACTTTGTTGTATGCTGGGACTTCTCTTTCAGAGGGGTTATGTAGGTAAGATTCCCCTGTGCAAAGAAGCAAATAGGTCCTAGGAAGTTGATTTAAAGGGCAAATTTAGTATTTTGATCATAAGTGAAAGCATTTGGTATATTCTTTTTAAAGTTAAGTTGTAAACATTTTGTCTTGTTGCTGTCTTAATGAAGAAGGGCTTTATTGTAGTCTTTGGTTTTATGTATTTATACACACATAGCCCAAAGAAATACAGTTATCTCCTGGTTTGTATGTTTCATTTTCACTGAGGTGTATGTTGCCATACATTTTTTTGTTTTGTTCTTTACCTTGATTAATATTCATAAGTGGATTTAACAGTCTCAATCATTTAATAAATATCAGCAGAGCTGAAGAGAGTTGCTCCCCGTATTACTGTGTTTTGCCAGATAACATGAAGTTGCCTCTGTGCCTGCCCCTATGAACGGCACCTATACTCCTTACTGTGTATCTGTAGTCATAACTGTGATACTGTACTGGCATTTTTTTTTTAAAGTTAAGAAGGATTTTAAAGGTCCGTTGTGAACATTTTTGTATACAGTGAAATTCAGTTTGTACTGTATTACATTTATAGAGATGGGTTAAATTGGAATAACTTACTAAATGTGTTTATAATAATAAACTCTATTAAAAATTAAAAAGTCTAGATGTACCATAGCAGGTATTTACACTTCTGTTTGTACACTTCATGATTTAAAATCGTATTCTTGCAAGATTTTTGTGCCTTCACTTGAGTAAGGCTTTGTATACACTGATAATCCATTCCACAGAATTACTATATGCTTCATGTTTCCTTGAAACATCTTGCCTTTGCTTTTAGAAAGCCTGCAGGTATAAAAGAGAACTGGATTTAACTCAAATGTCTAACTTGTATGAGTCAAGAATACTAAGAACCTGATAGGATGATATTTAGAAAGATTAACAGCAAAATTAATGTGTACAAACAGAATAGTAATGTAACTTCATCAGCTTGAGTCCTGACTTCTTTTTTTTAGACAGGTTTTTGGGGGGGTTTTTTGTTTTGTTTTGTTGTTTTTTTTTTTTTTTTAGTTTAACTGATACTCACTGATGTATTTCTAGCTGATGCATTGTCCCAATCTTAATCTGTCTGAATTTCTATAACTGCTGAATGTTAAATTCTTCATTTTATGTTTTTGTTACTGGGTTGATTGATTATTTCCTATTTAAACTGGATTTGGACTGAATTGCAAAGACAAAACCACAACATTGTAACAGTTGATATGTATGTAGACTGTGTACTCCATATTTCATGGTTTTCCTCTGATTTTTATGCTCTCAAACCACTGTAAGCAAAAAAAAAGACTGAGGCTCATATGCTTTTTCAAAAGCTGCTGTCAGCCCTCTGAAATAGTTCAAGCTTTGGAGAGGTCTAAGAAGTAACATGGTGGTTTGGTTTTGATTTTTTTGTTTGCTGTCAGTAGGAGTTGAAATGGTACTGCTTGTTTAAGTAATACTCATTATATTTCTGCTTGTATAAGTAGGAATTGTCCTGTAACTGTGTGAACAAACACTTAAACATCAAGTACAAAATCAGCCTTTTTAAGAAACTTGTAAATTAACAGCAAAAGGCCTACTTTTGTAAGTTAGTTTAATAATAAACTTCTGGTTAATACCAGAATTTTCAGTGAATCCTTCTAGCATTTTTCAAGACCTGGGTATATTTACCTGTCTAGGATTATTTCAGATCTTCTTAATATTAAGCTATTATGAATGTTATTTCCTTCATCTCTTTTGTAAAATGCTATTTTTCAGGAAGCACATATGTGGGGCTGGCACTATTCTATTGCATATAGAATTCCTCAGGGAAATAGGTCTTTGTGCAGCTGATTCAGTACCTGAAGTGCACCACAGAGTGAATGAGGCAAGCAGTGACACTGTTTCATGTGCTGCTTAAAAACTGTTTTAAGACTGTTCTGGTGCTTTACAGAAATATACAGTTTGTTGCTTAAATATAAGTGACTTCTCTCATTTTCTTGAGGGTGAGATAAGGTGATTCAAAAAACTGAAAATATTATGCTATTTTCAAATGCATAACTGTAACTTTTATTATTTTTTTCCATTACCATGTTGCTATTATTTTGATATCTTCTGAGGTGTCTTTAGACACACACATATATTTGTGTTCCCCATGTCCTGTGCTTTTTTTTTTTTGTTCGTGAAATCAGTGATTTTGACAAATTTGAGCCATGTGAAAGTTCCCCAAGAAACTTTAAGGCTTTACAGCATTTGAAACGGAAATTATTTGCAAGTGAAAACAGTAGTTTGGTGCGGTGTTCTCCAGAGATTAAAAAAAAATTAATCATTTTCTTCCTTTTGCTCATTGTGGTTTGAGAACTAAGACTTGGTTTTATCCAAAAAGAAAAAAAAAAGGAAAAAGATACATGATATATCTTCATTTTTATGTTTTCCTGTTGCAGCCTGATCTACCTTTCTGTGTCTTCCTCATATATTAATGTGAAAGATATTGCTAATAATTCACATCTTTTCAATTTGTAAACCAAAGATCGAGTTTTCTGAACATACCTCTCTTCATCAGTTATTTTTGGTGAATAGATGGGCTGGGATAGTAAGAGAAAGACATACTATGAATGAAACTAGTTGGGGAGCAGTCTTTTTCTTCCAGTGTAAATTATTTATAAAATTAGGAAGTAATTCTGGTGTCAACCTTATACACTAAGATTGAACAAAGATACCAGGTAAGTATACTAATAATAGGGAAAAAAATATGCAACTAATGGAACAAGGTACTAGTGGTGGCAAAATAGTCTGTACCTGTATGGTGAACAGAATCACATCTGTATCTTGGCTTACATGCAAAAAAACAAATGTAGAGTTAAGCTGGAAATTACTTCTTTCTCACTGTATTATAGCTAAAGCATCAGAGTATTTGGAGGTTTGTGATGTTCTGGAATGTAGGTTAAGCTAAAACAAATTTTGGCTTTCAAGCTGATACTATTTTCTGTGGGATTTTTGCTTTGTGTATTTTTCTTTGTGTATAGAATAAAATAAAGTGAAGAATTACATGAAGTAATTCTTAGGACATATTAGGATGTAGTCACAAATGTGTATCATGCATTTTACTGAAATGTGAATATGTTGGGAGATTGAAATTCAATCTCTGAAAATACCAGAAATTACACTATAACAAAACTCAACAGGTGTATGCACATACAGCTTTAAAGTACTGTATATTGTTACACCTCTGAAAGCTGTTTAAAGCTTTTTTTATGCTTATTTGGATAATTGGGATTAAAGGGGAAAAAATAGAGTTGCTACTGCAAGATGCTTCACATCTATTGGATTTTGTTGTAAGGGTCTGTCTTGGGGGGGGAAGTTGTTCAAGTTGCATCTTGCATAAATACAAAAATGTTTCATCACTTAAGTTTGGGGCTTTAATTTGTGTAATGTTCTGGCATAAACTAACTTTTAAATGAGAAAATAACTATTAAACAGATAAGTCTGAAATTTGGGCTTTATTCATAGAAATGCTGAGAAACTGATTGCTGTGTGGTGTTAAATTGTACAAACCTAACTCATGCTTGGGACCAATAGCTTATGTGAGCCTAGTCAGATGGAAAGGCAGTTGGAAAACAGCATTGCCAAGAAGTACTGACTAGAGATTTAGCTTTTTTTATTAAAGTTGTTTCTTACTTCAGTATTCTACTTCCTTGTAGAATACTGAAAAGGGTTGATGATAAAGGTATAATCCATACAGATCTATTTCTTCCTTTTGGAACCACAAAGGTTTCCAGTTTTGCCAAGATATACTGGCAGAATGCTCTGGAACCAAAACATACACCACCTTGGATTTTAGTTGGTCATGTTGTTTAAATTAAGGTTCAGCGTGGTACTGATCATTTTCAGAGCCCTATAATTAAAAGTATTAATCCTAAATCCAGTTTATCATTCATTCTTTAAAGTTCCTGTAGTTCCATAACTACCCTTACAAATCTAGCAAATTCTTCCCAGGAACTGAATCTTTCTTATGCTAGCATTATAAATCATATATATGATGCTTTGGATCTGCTAACTGTTGCCATAGAAATGATAAAGATCCGTAATTCTTGCCACAGGAATTGTATGATGAGAGCAGCAAATTCTGATATGCAGTCTCACAGCTGTCATATACTTACTTTCTCCACTAATAAAACAGATTCTCCCCTCTGTGCTAACTTAGCTTGTGACTCTGAACACATCTTGTGGAGGCAGCACTTTGTCACTTTGCTACTAATTATTTTTAAAAGTGTATAACATCTATGGAAATTTTGGTCTTTTGGGGAAGGATCTTCCCTAAAAGTAGTTACTGATTGATACATTTGGGATTTGAGAATAAAGTCTGTGAATAAGAAAGGAAATTCAAGTTGCTGCTTTGGATTTGGATTAATTTGCATGCATACTTGTAGCATATAGAGCCTACCTGGTTATACATTCGTTTTTCAAAGTTACAGTTATCGGTCACTTTGCGGTGAGGAAGAAGAAATGTGTCAATTGTTTATGCAAAAATTGAGTACTTTGTTTTCCTGACTGCTTTAAAATTACTATACTAGTAGAAGAATATTTGACAGCTGTGACTGGTGCACGTTCATGAAATTGCTCCTCTAAATGTCTTGGTTCTCAAATGAACAGTTGAATGTGTTGTTTTTTTTGAACAGTTTGATTTAAATTATTTTGAAAATATTGAATGTTGAGATTGTGGATTATTAATAAAATGAAGATAGGTAATTGTTTTGTAATGGAATTCAACTGAAATCCAGTGTATGGAATTATACCATCCCAAGTATCTTGTGAACTCTTAAAGTCATTAACTCTGAGTAGTGTGGTTCCTTAATTTGCCAGAATAGATGAGATTAGGAAGTAGGGCTTGGCGTTTTCCGTAGGGCAAGTAAGTGAGGAAGCCTGCAAATCTATATTGTATTATTTGAAAAGTGGGTTCTTGTGATTAAACTGCGAGTGTGTATGTTTAGATGTGAAGCCCCTCCTGCTTGCCACTAGTCTGAACATTTTCAAGTACTGGTATCAGCATCTGTGCACTTTTAAATGTTACTGAGCTGTGAGCCATCCACTTCATTATACAACCACTGCATTATTTAAATGTCAGATCATCTTAAAACTTCTGTAAGTGGGCAGGTAAAAATGTAAAGCTCTAGTTGTGGTAAAACTACCTTATGTGCTTGTTTGTTTACTCTCACAGAATGCATACTTTAGGAAATGTTCTATATAAATGTTTCTATCAGTCACAGGAACGGTAGCTATTTCTCCCTTTATCATTCGATTCTTCAGCTGTGAAATTTATCTTCTTTCAACTTTGTACAATACTGATTTTCTTTTTAACTATTGTATTAGAAAACAGTTTCGTGCACAAACAAGTAGCTACTGCTTCTGGGTATTTTGTGTTAGTTTACATTCTGGTGAAGTAGATGCACGACTTGTGTATGTATAGATAAGCCAACAATTTTCTGTGTATTATGAGGACTAGCAAAATCTACATCACAAATTTTGACACATTACAGCTGAAGGAAGAGGAACAGCGTGCAAGACAAGATACATTCTTCAAGGAAAGATGCTTGTCCAGCAGTTTGCTTCATGTGATTGAACTGAGCCTGTAAGGATTCATGGATAAAATGAACAGGAATAGATCTGAATAAAGCAAATCTGCATACATGGTAACCAGTAGCTCTTTTACTTTCTTATGTTGCTTAACTGTTTTATTTGAGGGAAACCTGTGTGATTTAAACCTTATATAGCTTTTGCAACTTTATTACTGGTTATATACATTTGGCAATTATAATGTGCAAGCAATTGGAAAAAGTCAAGTAAATGCTTGTTTTTATAGTAGTTTGTTCATGTTAAACTGTTCATATGATGTCTGTACACAGCACCACTGATTACAGTAGATGTAGTGTTGTAATAAACTGTTTAATGGGGCTGATGTGTAAAGCTGTTCAAGTTATTTGATGTTTACACCTCAGGGAAAGTCTTGTGTTCAGCAATATTTAAAGATAATGTTACAATGGAAACGTTGATGCTGTTTTTAAAAACATTGCAATAGTTCTTGCATATGCCTCCACCTAATCTTGCATTCAGTGAGTTAAACATACTAATGTTGCTCTCACACATTCAGTTTTGATATGAAAATAGGTGGTTACATAAAACCTTCAAAGCTATTTTTGCTTTCTAGCAGTGTTTACCTAGGTGGCTTGTGAATTTGCTGATTGAGATATAAAACTGTAAAAACTGCAGCTCTTTGTGGCCTGTTTTGAGGAGAGGTGGTCCCAGGTCTGTGAATTTCTGTCATACAGCCTTGATCCTGATTGACACTACGGTTAATATAAACTTAAACTGTTCATGTGAATTTAAACTGTCCATAATAAGGGGTGGAAAGGTTAGGTTTAAAAAACAAAACCAAACCCTGCAGTTGTTTACAGTTTTATAGTAATAGTGCTTGCGTTTGTTCCCTGTCCACCCCCAAGGCTGTAGCAGTCTGTACATAGTTGTATATTAGAAATGTGCCAGAAGAAACAAGATGCTTCCATTTTTCAGACTCTATGGATTTGGTATTTTCTTAATACTTCTGGGTTTCTTCACACATGCATATACAAGAGAAGGTACACTTATATGTCCTTGTTAAGTGAAGTGATGGGCAATATTTAAATGTCTTAGCAAAAAGTGGTGCTAATGACATCTGTCAGATGAGGTTTTGTAAATTTACCTAAAAACAAATCACTGGAGCTCGCAGTGAAAGTTGACAAAATTTAAGAATTGGTTTGAAATTAAATTGTGACATGCAAGCAAATAGTTCCTGTAAGTTTCAAAAACTTAGTATCTGTCAGCCTTGCACAAAAGGCTTACTTCTAGTCTATTCTAAATCGTTATGCGGCAGATATGTTCTTGCAGTTTTCTCTTATTCAAATAGCTGCACTTGATGTTTTAAGTTAAGTTTCAAGACCTCAGATGGCTTTAAGAGGCAACTCTTAGACAACTCTTGATCTCTTTTTTTCTTTTTTTTTTTTTTTTACCAATTTTGAAGATTTTTATAGCTGACCTAAGATGTTAACCCAGTTCAGGAAAGCACTTAAATCAGTTTGGTTTTCCAGAGCATTTAAAGTGTGTGCTTACATTCCATAGATTTCAAGGAATGTAAACATATGCTTTAAGTACCTTCTTTGCATACATCAGTGATTTTTATGCTTTACTGAGTTGGGATCAGTAGCCTGTGCAACTGCGGAAGTTTTGCATAAGTCTAAAATGCTCTAATATTTTTGTCACTTGTCACTCAGCCAGGTTTCCTGCAGCCAGGTTGATGCTGTTGGACTTGGCTACAGCTTCAGACTTTTTTTCCCCCACTCTTCCCCCCCCCCTAAATTGTGTACCTCAGTTCCTCATGCATGGGATCACTGGTGTTTATTGAACTGTTTGCTACTGAGAAGATATTTGACATGTTCAATCCTGTTTGGAAATGAAAACTGCCTTTTAAAATTTTGTAAAACTGAAAGTTGTATCAAACAAGTCACGACTCATTTCCTGCTTTTTGTGAATAGGTCTTGGTTACAAACAGTGCTGTTGTAACTTTTTTTCTTTACTTAAAAACATTGTTTACTGCTATGTGTAATAAGTTTTAAGGAAGAAATAACCTGCCTGTAGCTGATACGTGAAGAGTAGCTAATACTGGAGAGGCAGCAGGTAAGTAATGGTCCATTGCATAGATGCATTGAATCTTAAAATAAAAAAGTAAATGTACAAGCATTTTATGCAGGAACTAATATTTTACTCCACATTGAAATAGATCTAAGGAGACTGTTACTCATTTTATGCAGTGTAATTTCTCACTCACATACAGATTTCCATTGCTGGCAGTGGAAATAGCAGGGAGGGAGTAGCAGGGGGGAAACAACGTAAGTTAAACTGAGTGATCGTTGTGACTTGAAAGATGAGATCCCCATATTAAGCCCCTTATTTCTGCCTGTTCTGAATACTTAGGTTTAACTGATAAATTTACTGTGTTGCAATTTAGATAATACTCTCTTGTTACTGTGAGCTTAATTTGTTAGAACTTTTTAAGGAATCAAAAAATGTACAGAAAAAATCCAAAGACCCTGATAGACACCAAAAAGGAATATGCCTAATGCACAGCGTGTATAACTGGATCTGTAGTAGAATTTTTACTGGGTTTTGATTTACTAAATGTTGCCGGCAATTTCCTGTGCAGGCTCAGGAAATAGCAGTTTGGTAACTTACGGGCTGGTGATGATGCCATGATGGCTACTGCTGTGCTCTTTGATATTTGTTCAGTGGTGGTTCACCTCTTTTTTTTTTTTTGCTGATGAAAGGACAGTCTGCAAGGAAATACTGTGTTCCTTTCAAATACTGATTTTTATAAGTAATGTTGAAAATACTATCTTAAGGCTATTAAGGCTGTGTCCTTTACCTTGAAAGACAAAACCAACGAGTAGTGACTTAGGGGTGGCAGTGCTTTAGCAACAGAACTGTGTTTCTGGAGGTTCTTTTTTTTTTTAGAAGTAGAGGGTTGAGTGTTTTTTTAAGTAAGATTTCTACTGGACTACATGTTTTGACAGGTCAAAAATACCATTTTGGAAACTGTACAGGCTTTTTTTTCCCCTCATTCCCTTTTTGCTTTCTGTGCCAATAATTTTAGTTCTGATTTGCATTTCAAAAAAACGTTTGTCAGAACTTCTTTGACATTTTATTTACAGTGTGGCTTATAAGCTTGGATAGCTGTTGGTTTTGTTACAAGCAAGATACCTTCTTAAATTTAGGCATTAGCTTGAAATTCTTGTTTTATTTCTTTAAAAGGAGTGAGTGCTTTCTGGTTTTGTTCCTTTGAAATTGGTGAGGCTTAGTTTTTCTAACCATATTTTTTTACCTGATTGTTTAGTTGCCTATTCAAACCCTTGTAAATGTTTTCGTAGTTCTGTGTGGATAATTGGAGATTTACATGTTGTACATACTTGTCATCTGTGTTTCTAGTAAAAATACATGGCATTCTTTATAGAAATATCTAATTCCTGATTTCCTTTTCTTATCCACTTATTCTCTCTATACAGGTTAAACAGTCTTTACTCCTATTTTTATTTATAGAATTTTACACATAGACTCTTAACAGTATCATTGGTTCTTGCGTAAACTGAGATACAGCCTTAAAATTTCTAACATAATGCTCATTAAGATGCTGTTAGTCATGTAGATTCAAATATAGAACGTGCATGGTTAAGACTGGTACTCTTCAGAGATCCACGACACTAAATTGCTTCTGCTTTGAAATGGAAACCTTTCAAAATCTTTAAGGAAGGTGCAGGTCAGTGTGCATATGCTTAAAGAAAAGTAAATTCTTTGCAAAATAAGTATTTTGATGTAGGAAAGAAGCAACATTGATTTGCTCAGAATTTAATTTTGGTAATTGACTGTACAGGTCTTAAACATAATGATTGCAGCGTGCTCATTAGTCATGATGGTTATGCAGAAATACTGTGTTACAACTGTGATGCCTTGCAGTTAATGTTGCAGGCAGGCTTGGGATGGGTGGAGGTGGTTTGGTGTTTGGGGGGTTTTCTTTGGTTGCTTTTACTTCCCTCACTCACCTGCCCTACCACAGCCCTCCCCAAATTGAGATCTGACATGTACTTTTAGATTCACTTTGGCTTTAGGGGACAAATTACTAAGGAGTATTTTGGAGCATGGAAGTTCCTCAACATGATGTTCTCATGAGATATTTTTTTTCCATGTGGGACAAAATATGATAAATCATCGCATTCTACTTGCGCATTATGCACTTGTTAGTTCTTGAATCCTTTCTGGAACCCCAGTTATTGCAGTGGGTTCTAGGGTCTGGTATGACCTATGCCTGTGCTTAAGTATTTTAAACCTTCTTTGGAGATACATTAGTTTTAGTGAAGTCTGTTGAAAATATTAAACATTATACCTTTGATCCCAATAAAATGAAGCATTTAAGTTGTAAAAATTCCCATCTATTCATACCATGTAATGTGATTTTTTTTTTTTACATGACTTAGTGCTAACACTTTGGAATATATTCAACTAATAAGACTTTGGCCTCACCCTCTTGTATACTGTATTTTGTAATAGAAAATATTTTAAACTGTGCATATTACTATTACATTATGAAACAGACATTCCCTTGATCTTCAAGTGTAAGAAAAGGAGGAATGTGTGTGCTTTTATAAATACAAGTGATTGCAAATTCAGTTTCCTTACTACTGCAGGCATCCTTTTTTTTTAAATAAAGTAAATATATATATTAAAAAAAAAAAAGAAAAAAAAAAGTTCCAAGTGTTTTAAAGGTGAAATACATTCCTGTTTGGTAAACCTAAATGTTTTTATGAGTGTTGCCAGCACTGCTGAATTTCTAAACAAAAGGCTGGATTGTCTTCCTGAATGAACTGTACCATTCATTCAATTTCTCGGTTCCCATTTTGCACAAGGATGTCTTGAGCTATTCAAGAAATGGTTTTGAAATACAGGAGGGGGCTTGTCTAAGTTGGAATGCAGAATGTAAGGAAATGGATGCCTGTCAGAGTGGCTGACTCCGAAGGATTTTTTTATATGTATATATATACACACATATATATACATACATATGAAACAGTTTCCTGATACTGGCAGGCCAAAGAGTCTGTTGAATACTTGAGTTTCTGGAGACCTGTATTTCTCAACAAGGTAAGATGGTATCCTGGCAAATGTGGGTTTTAATACATTTTCAGCAGAGGTACTTAGTTAATAAGTTTAGGGATCATTTCATCTTTTTTAGATGTTATACTTGAAATACTGCACAACTTTTAGCTTTCATGGGTTTCTTTTTTTTTCAGACTTTAGGAGACTGTTAAGCAATTTGCTGTCCAACTTTTGTGTTGGTCTTAAGCTGCAATAGTAGTTTACCTTGTATTGAAGAA